CTTTTTATAGAAAGGGACTGAAATATAATCCTTTAGCTCCTCTGTTACTCAGAGATATGCATCAATGACATCCAATTAGAAAATAAAAGTGAATCATAATACCGCTCTAAAAATAGGCTGCCTAAAATGGAATAATTGTGATAAAAATACTGTGGATTGATTTATTTTCATCTTTGAATGCTAGCTGATCTATATTGTGTTCCTGCTGAAATTCTATGAAATTCAATAAAAATCGACACGAAAAAATGTTTCAAACATTGCCACCTTAACCAAGCTAGTGGTGCAAAGGTGTTGACCTACCTAATTGTAGTAGGAAACTTGAACATACATGAAAAGAATGAATGTCAATTAGTAAAACACATCCCCATGGTGAAGCACGTTACCTAGGATAATATGGTCTGCTAGAACCAAAGAGATGGAATATTCTAAGGAGGGTGTTAAAATTTTTCTATTCTGAATAACAAATGCGAGTGAGGAAACAAGGCTTGCTGTTGCCATCTGGAAGCTCCAATGCTCTTCTTCCGCCCTTGATTTTCTTTATTGATTGCATGCAGCAAAGAAAGCAATCTATTTCTTTGTCTCTGAAGTGAGAATAGTGATACCTACCTTATGAGGTTTTGTAAGGACTGGAGCTGATGCACAAAGGGTGTTGCAAATGGTAGTTTTCATAATATGACCATCAACAGGAGTGAATGCAAATTCCCCTTGAGGGACAGGTGTATTTTCTCTGCTTCTATTGGAAGCAGAGAGTTTTATAGAAATTATTTTGGGAAATTTAATAGTACTACTACTTGATCTTGTCAGAACCATGCCAAACTACACATCCATGTTCTAGGCATTGGCTAATATACTCTGGGCTCCCCAATCACAATGAAGTAAGGCACATGAACTTGTATCAGTAAGTCAAGGTGGCAATTAGAACAAGGGTACAGCAAAGCATATTGAATTTCTTTGGGGTAAAGGGTTTCAGAGAGTGGGATTTCCAGGACAAAACAATGAACATGTATGGTGAATGAGCCAAATTGATAACCCTATCAAGTAGGGCATGGCTGGATTTTGTTCACCCTGGTATATCCAAAGCTTCAAACCATGTCTGGCAATAACTGAATTACTCAATTAGTATATACTACATAAATGAATCCATCTCAAGGTAAAACAATCAGATCAGTTTTACTTTTACCACATACTTCTTGCTTTTTTCAAGTGTTTTCTGTCTTATTCTGCATCATCTTTTTATTTTTTGAGGTTATATATATATATATATATATATATATTTGTTTGTTTGTTTTTAATGAGTATTACTGTGTTACTCAGGCTGTCCTTAAATTCCTGTGTTTCATATTCTTCAATTCTAGTGCTTCCGTGTGCAAATAGATGGGGCTAGAAGAATATTCCATGGAGCCCAGCCCATCACCTTTTCTACACAGAATTTTTTAATAATTTCAGTGTATCAATAATGATACACATTCTACATACTTTCAATGGCACCACTTGGGAAATTTGATACTTGAATTTGAAACATGCACCTATTTGGTCAAGCTCAAAAAATGAGAAAACAGAAGGGATCTCTTTCTAAGCTAAAAAACATACAATTTTTATTTTTAAAATGCTTTTCGAATGCCTAATTATTTTCAACTAATTTCTGAGCGCTGTACCTTATTTCTGATATAAATCTAATTGTGAAGTTATAACTCCTTAACACTAGTGCTTGTTGTAATTACTAAAATGACATTCATATAATTACAAATAAGTCTCATGACTTACTATAAATTAAATTTTAAATATAAATGTTTAATTTTTAAATTTTACTTTTTAAATTTAAAAGGTTAATGACGATGTAAATAAAATATGATTATATTGACCAGTAAATGAGATGTTATATCATTAGTATACACATTTGATTGATATATATTTTATATATAGAATATATATATATATATATATATAGATGAGTGGCCTCATCTTTCTTCTAACCAGAGCTGGCACCATGAGACGTCTAGTTCTTCCTCAAAGTCAAAATGATCACAGGAGGTAAACTTTGAATTGATTCAGGACATCAAGGCAGCCAGTACAGGGCAACTAAAGACACTGATGAAAGAGGATTTGCAGAACTGCTTCAGAATGCAACAAGAATTATTGGGAAAAGAATGCTCAAAGTGAGGGGGATTAGTATAGTGTGACACATTTTTAAATTTAATCACACACCATAATATTTTACCAGTCCTTTAGTTGGTATAAACACTCTTAGCTTCTTAAACATTTCTCAATATTGTAAAATGTGTCCTTTCTCTTGGAATTAAGGCCATCCAATGATATTACATGGGTTTTTTGAGTGTGATTGAGAATAAAAACGAGAAGAGGCATTGCTCCTGTAATGCCCAGGAAATAATTCACTCACCTACATGAGTTACCCCAACGTTGGTCAGGGTTGAAATCCAAATTGTTTAATTAACTATTGGAGTGTAGTGACAGATTCTGATTTTATAGCTCTTTTGGAAAATTAGGAAGTTGTCCTGAGAATGACCACCATTGAGAAAATGTCCAAATACCTAGGTTAAGGACTTATGTTGAGAAACAAAACTGAAATTAAGCATACAAATACTACCATAATTTTTTTTAAAATCTCATTTTAAAGACATTTGAAAATGTGTCAAGTATTAATATTTAGCTGTGAGATATTTTTAAGGTTATATTTAACTAAAGTTCTTCGTGTGAACAGTTTGTTAATGATGAGGCACAATTTGTAAACACACATTTGCATGTTTAAAGGCCTCTGGAAGGAGTAACTTTATGATTTGTATCTTTAATTTATGAATTCTTAAATGGAAGTAGACATACAACTGTAAAGTCCGTTTCAACATTTGAAAGCATTTTATGAATTTAAATGTTAAATTTTCATGATGATTTCATTATTAAGGAAATCCAAAATTTTGCTAAATATTAATTGATTTAAAATTTTGTGTAGCTCCATAAAAAAAAAATATATATATATATATATAGTAAAACAGACAATTATTTTGTGTACATTTTAATATATATTCTGTGAAACTGAAGATTCATTTATTTTTCTTAGGGAACTATTCATTTTACAAAACTAACAACTGTACTTAAATAGCAATGGCTGGGTTTCACTTTAAAAAAAAAACATTTTAATGTAGAAATAAGGGCTGGGTAAGTAAAGAGACTAACTGATTGTCACCCTTAGTGACATATTAACACAGTAACTACTGGGGTTATGGGGGTATGGGGTTTCCATTGTGATTACTGAACTATAGCTGAACTAGGTGGATGTTGTCACAAATTCCAAGACGAAGAAATCATAAATTAGAATAGATTTCACTCTGAACAGAAAGGTCTGCCCCTCTTCAAACAAAATTGATTTTTTCCTTTCTTCAAGGTGATGACTCATGCACTCAACTACTTTTGGAAACTCGATGATGGCGTATTTTTTATATTATTTGTACAATTCAAATTTAGCAGTTCAGTATCAAATGTATAATAAAGACAATAAAACTAAATTACTGGAAAAAATATTGAAAGATACAGCTTTCTGACCTGAACTTTTCTAAATTTTTGCCTTCTGTACGTTATGTAGAGGATACATGATATGATCCTTCAGTACATGTAACAATTTCCAAAACAGAAATTTCTTCAATGTTTTTATTTAAAAAACTTCATGTATTTTTGTCTTGCATTAACAGTTAATATTTTTGTTTTTATTTATCTTTTGCAAGAGCAAAATGAACAGTAGCTTTGCTTGCTATTTCTAAATGTTTGTGGTAAAATTTAATTATATAGATTTATATAAAAATTGTATGTATTTCTCAAATAACACTAAGAAAGGCTAAAACCTCAGAAATTCTGTCTGTAGCACTTTAAGAAACAGAATGAGACAAACTGGTATGTGTTTGGGAAATGTTTCATTCAGGATCTAAATTTGGATCCTAATTGACAAGATGCTATATTAATTTTATAACATTTCTTTTGTCTCTCATAAAGCCAGATGTATCTTTTTCTGTATCTTGATAGGGGACAAGAAGACAATAGTATCACAGCTGTTTCCTCTCTATACATAGTGTTTGGGAACTCATATTTCTTTTTAGTAAAAGAAGGAAGAGAATAAAAACAATATTCATTTTCTGGAAGGCAAATTTTAGACTTACTTTTATCAGAAGTAGCTGTTGACCATAACTCATAATCTAATCAAATGTAATTATATGGCCATATACTTTTGGGAGAGATGCTTTTGTAAAAAATTGAGCTCCATGCTCTTATATTGCATAAGAAACAGAGAAGAAAGGCTTCATACTACATAATTACTTATAACTCAGGCATTCATGTATTATGTTACTTATTATTTCTGTTTTGTCTTTGCTACACGCGGGATAGAACCCAAGGATCTACATGTGCTAGGCAAGCGATATACACGGAGCCACAACCCAGGATGGCGCTGATATTTAATGATAACATTATCTTCAAGTCTTTATTAAAACTAGTAAGGTGAAAAGAAAAAAACAATAAACTAGTAAGCTGAAAAGAAGAAAAAAGAAACCAGTAAGCTGAAGCACCGAATAACCAATTAAATTATTTAAAATTATTTTGTTTTGCAGTTCTATGTTTGTAAGTCCTTATCTGAATCTTCTACTTATTCAACTATCTTTATGGTTTTTTCAGTAAGATTAGAGACTGAGAATCTTTCTCACATTGTGATCAATGTTTACCCTGAAACTGCTGCACACACTGAGAGTCATTTATTTTTCTCATGTGTCAATAAAGTCATTTTATTTAAAAAGCTCTTGAATATTCTTTATCTCAAGAAAATAACCCTTTCATTGTGTATGTTATTTTCTAGCACATCCATATTAATTTATTTCATAATATACAGACTTGAACAATATACTATATATGGTAATTTTGAATTCTTTGACTATAAACCTTAAAGGCAGTCATATGCCAGACTTTAAAAAATATTGATCGCTGTTTCACAATGAAACAATCTATTTAAATCTTTGAAAAAGATGATTATTTATTTTATAAAATTTGTGTTATGAGGAATATTAATCTATATTCGAAGTATCTGTCAGACTTTGTCAATACAAGCACATTTGGAAGTGTTCTGAGGAGCTGGAGAGACCCGGGTCTTTGCAGAGTGTGAAGAGTAAGAGTTTCAAACAGAAAAAAAAAAAGATGTTGAAGAATGTTCTTTGCAAACTATCTTGTTTCCCTAAACAATCTGAATACTATAACTAGCAATCACTAGTAATCACACACATGTGTAAACACACATACACACACACATACTGGCTTTGTGGTTCATTGAAAATGGTACAATTTTAGTGCATATTTTTTCAGTATATCCACCTGTTTACCTTGTCAAAGCATAAATAGATCAAGAGACATGACAGTGTTAAGATGTAAGGGTATATGAGAAAAAGCATCATATAGGCTTTCTGCTAATCCAAGCATGCCCACAGTATGTATCTCTGACCAATCAGGTCAGCTACTGATGATGAATACATACACATGATTAATCATCTATAATTCACATTAGTTTTCTTTAAATAATATTTTTATAGTTCCTCAACTCTAAATCTTTTCTCCAGAGAATTTCTAAATGTACCATTGAAGTCAATCTGGCTGATTGACTCTTTCATCAAAATATCTTTTAAAAAAATTGTGTTCATTTAGAACTATTATAATCTGATTGTGATCACATAGACTTTAGATTCTAAGCTGTCTATTTTGGGGCTGATTTCTCTTTCGTTCCAGTTAGCAGAATTCATCTAACTATTCAGTCACCATTCATAGACAAGGAGACTTTCATGCTGTGTCTAATTTACAAGTTTTAAGCTCAAAATGAAACAGGTTTGTAGTCTGTAAACAGAATTTGGTGAGCCCAAACCAAGGAGACAAGGCTAAATTCTTTTGTCTCTTAATTCGTAGCTTTCTTTGTACTAGCTCTTGCTTACCCTTGTAGATATTCCTTGAAGAGTGTTGAAAAGAGTGTGTGTGTGTGTGTGTGTGTGCGCACGTGCGTGTGTAATCTGCAGTCTAGAAATACAGTATTAAGTATATTCAACAATGAATAAATCCACAACTGACAGGTAACATGTATTTTCTCATTGCTTGTGTCCATTGCACTATATAAACAAATGTGAAATATATTTCTAACAAGGGTAAAGAGAAGGAAAAATATAAAGGCTGGACAATTAAAAAATAGGAGCAAAAGTTATTTTGTGTTCTTGTTCATTTGCTGTACTCTCTTCCCATTTCTCTGACCCACTTTTCTAGTATAATGATTGGCTTTTCACACCTGGAGACCACAAAACCCTAGTGTGTGGTTCAGCCTGCAGAAACAAATGTGAATATTCTCACTGTCCATCCATTAGGGGCTGACGATTTCTTCAACTTAGTCGATTCTTATTTCACCACGAGGAGGGAGGTTTCAAGACCAGTGATAAGACAAACATATTTCAATACTCAGAAAAAAGATAGATGTCACACACATAATACATTAAAATTCTAGCCATGTGCAGAGGTGCACAACCAAAAATAATCCCGTTTTTACTTGGAATCTAATGTACGTTCTTCTATCTAAATTTTGTCCTCCTTCCTTAAAAATACCCCTTAATGAATTATATAAATATTGTATTGACATTTATGTCTCCAGTTATTTTCTGGAACTGGTACATTTATGCTTCTCTTGAAAAAGAAAGGGTGCCCTAACCTGCCAGAAGTATACTAACCCATTCTACAGGTGTGGGTACAGGTTTCTGTATTTGTTTGTTTGTTTGTTTGAAGGGGTAATTTAAACATGACTGAGATTCTCTTAACCTGCCCCTTTATCTTAGGATCAGGTTCCTCATTTTTATTTTTCAATTAAATCAATTTATATTTTTAATACTTCAGGTGTGGGTACAGTTTTTGTTTTGCTTGTGTTTTTGTCTTTTTTTTTTTTTTTTGAAGAAGTAATTTAAACATTATTTGAATTCTCTCAACTTGCAGTATTATCTTAGGATGAAGTTTCTGGTCTTTATTTTCTCAAACCAATTTATGGGATTTTAATATTTGTGAAAGCTTTTCTATGTGATGGGTCTGTAAGAAAATGAATTTAATGAAATTGCTGGGATGATTGCTTCCAATGACCTTGAAAACTTTGTCTTCTGGTACGTGTCCATCTATCCTTCAGAGTAAATATATGTTTGTATTTCATTAAAGCTTAAGGATATGCATTTGGGAAAAAAAATCAACTCTCTTACTGGATGAAAGATACCAGGGCAGGAGATTTATGTAATAAAATAACTTGATGTTTTGAAATGTCAGTCACAAAACACAATTTATCCACCTAACAGTTAAATGAGAGGTGACTGCTAATAAAAATAGAACAGGGATTATTTTTTAAATCATTTTTCATATAAATTGGGAATTATTAAAGGGGAGGAACCAGGCCTTATCTGTGTACCTACAATACCAAAATTAGTATTTAGCACATAGCAAGTCTTTCATACTGTAGAATTAAAATTTCTAACAGATTCAAAATTGTTTTCTACCTATGGGTAATTTAGTAAATTTTCACCTTGTGTGATCACATTCCACTGAGCCAGTAAGATTTTACTTAGAAGGCACTAAATAAATTATACTAATATTTTATCCAAGTGGAATTGAATTTACTTCACAAAATCATGTTTCTGTGCATTCTATGGAAGATAATCCTAATGAGGAGGGAAAAACACCATAGCATCCTTTAATAATGATCTGAAACTCAAGTCAATTGGTGAAGCAGAACCCAGTAAACATGGACACTGTGTCTAAAGAATACTGTAGTAGTCTCTTTCTTAGAATGTAGGAGATCTAATTACCATACTACAAATGAGTTGTGTCCAGGTACAGAAAAACCAACAATATTTTATTTATAATCATATTTTAAGCTTTTGAACTACAAATTCTGGTTCTAAAGTTGTTTAAAAGTCATGGGTTTTATAGATGTTCATATGTAAATTAATCTTTTCTTTGCTCTCTCTCTCTCTTTTTTTTTTTTTTTTTTTTAATTCCCATAGAATGGTCCTCCTCATAAATACAGCAGAACAGGTCATTACATGAAAATATAAGATCTTGCACTTTCCTCATTCTTTCTTAAAAATCTATTTGTAATATTGCATTCCCCATTAGACTACTTCATAAGGGCATGAGAGAAAAACAAAAAAAAGGGGGAAAAGAGAGAGAGAGAGAGAGAGAGAGAGAGAGAGAGAGAGAGAGAGAGAGAATAGACTGGATCTCACCACTAGAATTCACCATAAAAATCTCAAAGTGTAACAGAATTCTTACAAAATTTCCTAGACCAGTTCTTTAGGGCATTGAGATCTATGAAAAATATGGCAATCAGGGAAGGGAGGGACGAGATGTGGGAAAATCGTAAATAAGTGCAGCAAAAACAGGTTCTGAGGAATACACATAATTTTGTCTGCTTTAGAGCACAATAGAATTTTTAATAAATAAATTTCTTTTTTCTTTTTTTTTTGTAAAGACACTTTTTTGAAACAGTAGATTTAGCCCAGTCATTTGTGTCATTTTTAATAAACCGTCTTTTTTTTTTTGATTGTTTGTTTCCTGTAACTGTGAATGTTTAGATCTGAGTCTCTTGTACATTGTCTTTTGAGTTCATTCGGATCAATAAAGGTTCATGCACTGAACTGTGTATTGAATTTATTGTGTTAACTGTTGTTGTGTGGTTGAAGGGAGATTTGTAAGAGTTATAGTGATTTAGGTGCTCATGCTCTATAGCAGGCATGGGCAGGTGGCTTTCCATGGGAGTGTCCCCTGTGATCTCATCATCCACATTAATGATTTCAACAGTCCTCGTTGGAGCATGATGGTTTTGCCGATGATGTTGCTTCCTCATCTTATAGAAAATGACCAGCATCACTGCAGCCATGAGTGTGATGGCCACAAAACACCCAATGATGATCTTGGTAGTCTTCATGACCTCATCAATTCCTGGGATCCCACTATTTATATCAGTCACTGGGATGGTGAATGTCTTTTCTGTTGACCTTGTGCTCTGTGGCGTGAGAGAGGTGGTCACATTGGTGGTTTCCCAGTCAATCACTGGAGTGGGGCCCACATTGTTATCTGTGGTCCGTGCTTCATCCTGAGAAGGTTCCATAGTCTCTACTGTGACAGTTGAAAAGTAAGAGAAAGGAGTAGTAGTTGCTGCCGTAACATTCAGTGTGGCCGATGCAGTAGTATTTCCGACAGAATTGCTCACCATACATGTGTACATGCCTGTATCTTGCACAGTTACATTCGTGAAATTTAATGTACCATCACTGAGCACAGCTATCCGTACCTTGTAAGCCCCATGCGTCATGACTGTTCCATTTGGAGTAATCCAAGATACGGATGTCAGGGATGTGGACGCTCGACATTTCAGCTCAGCTGCCATGCCTTCAGTGACATTGAGGTCTGCAGGGGGCTCCACAATGACTGGGGCATAGCATGTGAAGTAATTCTGGTCGAGCTCCCCGATGTACCTCCCTTTCAGACTGGGAGGAGTGTTACACCGGGCACAACAAGCTGTGTTGGAGGGAGCCATGTCTTTTATCCACCAGCTGAGCCACAATATGTCACAGTTACAATTCCAAGGGTTGTGATGCAAGTGTATCCTCTCTAGATGATGCAAGGGTGTGAAGAGGTCATGAGGCAGTAATGTTAGGTTGTTATGAGCCAGGTTGATCTCCACTAGTGACTGAAGGTTATCAAAGGCATTCCTCTCAATCACTTGAATCTGGGACTGTATCATCCAGAGTTTTTGAAGGTGCATCAACCCCTGAAAAGAGCCAGGCCTGATGGCAGACAAATGATTCCCAGAAAGATCTAGCTCATCTAGTTTGATAAGCGGTGTGAGGTTAGGGATTTCTCGGAGGTTGCACATGGCAAGGTTCAAATACCTCAAATTGGACAGACCTTCGAAGGCACCTTCTGAGATGTATGAGAGCCTTTTCAATTCCCCTAAGTCCAGTCGACGCAAAGAAGGGATTCTGTTAAAAGCATAAGAAGGGATGCTTTCGATGGGGTTGTTTCGCAACCAGAGCTCCTTCAGTTTAGACAAATATACAAAAGCTCCATTTGGGATGGTTGTAAGACGATTGTCAAATAGTTCCAGAGTGTTGAGGTTGGCCAGACCGTTGAAGGCCCCGATTTCAATGGTTCTAATATGGTTCCGACTCAGCTGAAGGATTTCCAAGTGCCTTAAGTGCTTGAAGCTGTTTACTTTAATGATCTGAATTTGGTTCTCATGAAGATTCAGCAGGCGTGTGTTGGTGGAGATGCCATCTGGAACCTCACGCAGGTTTTTCCGAACGCAAATCACCTTGCTGAACTGGTTGCTGCAGGAGCACACGGAAGGGCAAGTTTGAGCCCGCACCAGACCAGCCACCACGAGAAGTTGAAGAGCCAGCAGCACCACAAGCAGGGGGTCAAATAGGGCCCTGTTAAACCTAGGACCTATCATTATCTGCTGTGGATGTAAGGTCATCTTGTTCAACATTCATAATTTATCTGGTGTTGGTCCTTCTGGAGTTCAATGGTCTGAAAAATAATAAAAGCAAAAGAAGAGCATTAGATCTTCCCCAAATGTCTTTCTCAAGTATATTCGTGATGTACATTATCAGCTAAAGCCATTATTTTTAAGATGGAGACAATTCTAATATTTTTGATTGAGCTATGTGACCCTTATTTAAAAGAAATGTTTCTCTCACCCAAATTAGCAGCTGTCACAGTTTGCATTCCATCAAATCTGTCATCACAGAGAACTAGCCCAGGGAGGTAGAGGATCCTAACATATTTACCAAGTGGGACCCAATTTCATGTGCACATGTGCACACATGTGATGAACTTCATCACTAGTTTTAGCGTCCACATCAGAGGGAAATGGTCCAGAAAATAGGATTTGGGGGATGCACCTTAAAAAACTAAAAGCTCTTTTGCAAAACCAATAATGGCTGGCATTTCATTGAACATGTTCTAGCATCCTGGGCTACAGAATTCACAATCTTATTCAGTAGTGATTATATAATTTGTAGGACCCAGTGCAAAATAAAGTGTTAAGTGACTTGTTAAAGTTAAGAATTTAAAATCAGTGACAGCAGAATGTTAACCAAGAAATAGCTCTTCGTAACAAGGCTCACTTCACAAATGAAAGCATGTCTGCATGAAGCTGCCTGTGACCCTTTTTAATACTCACAACTCTATGCTAACATAGACGCTATCATCGCCCAAGCTATCCTTCCCAAAAGCTCTCTTTGCAAGATAAAGAAATGCAATCATAGACAAAGGAGCATGCAAACATTTGTACAGATATCAAACACAGAACGAGAGCTCAAAAGTGAGAACTTGGCAGATTAGTCTCAGAGCACTATTATTGCAAACACTTCATGGAAATCCTGCTGTAAGAATACAGATAAATGCAGAATATTTTTCACAATTTCTTTAAAATATCTTTCCTCAAGGAGTGACCGCACTTGTGCAACCACTGCTAACTCATGGTACCTGTGAAGATATCCTGAAACAAAACATGCATATGTGCCCACAAACTTCTAGAAATTAGCATGCACAAAATTCATTTTAATACATACAACTGCTATAGGCAGGTGGTTCCCATATGAAATCATGTCTCAAAAAACATAATTTTGATACTCAACAAAATAGTATGGTAAGACAAAGTTGTGTACTCAACTTTACTGATTTTAAGTAGATTTGTAGGCAGGAAATAAAATAATTGATATGCCCCCTCTTTTTCAGCACAAAGAGGACTTCCTAAGGAGCAAGTGATACCTAGTATAATTTCCACTCACCTAACTTATTGTCTGGACTCCTGTGTAGTAATGTTCCCTCATCTCAGTCTAAATTTTTATCTCAATATGCAGTGTCTCACCTATGAATCTTTTGACAATAATAAAAAGAGGGTTGGATAGTAAGTAGCTTACCACATTCTAACAAAGACATACCCATTAAATACCAATTTTGTGTCAAACCAGACAACTTACATATCCTTTCTGTGAGTCAATCACATCTCCTCTCTTGGAACATGGGAATGACACACTTCTTAGGGTTGTGAGGATAAATTTAGTTAATGCAGCTAAGGAATTTAAATAATGCCTTCCATGCTGTCAGTATTCAGTAAATGTTAGATTGTCTTCTTATTATTATTATGGTTTTATTGTTTCATTTAGCTAAACATGTTAAATACTGGGTGTATAAAGATGAAGAATAGAATCCTTGTCCCTGAGGGAATTTTCATTCAAAAGGCAAGCCAGATAGCAAACAGATGAAGTACAATAATACATGTTCATTTATATGAGACATGATCATTTGGTACAAAAGTACTAATGTTAGAGTAAATTAATTTCCACTGGGAAATGGAGAGGCAGTTTAAAGAGGAGAGTGAGCTGGTGTAGGTTTTGTGAGCAGTGGTGAAGAAAGAAAAGGAGTTTTAGATAGAGCTATCAACCTGAACCAAGTCAAGACCATGGGAAATATGCTTGTCTATCAAGGGAACATTAGATATTTCCAGTCAAGGGAAAATAGGGCTGGAGAAGAGACTGGCAAAGGAAGATAGGATGCAATTGACACCAGATTGTCAATGGCTGGTTCTGTTAAATTTAAGAGTCTGCAATTCATCTCACACAACACTGGTTTTATTAAAAGAATGCTATTTTCAGCTTTATTTGCAAGGAATGATATTGGGTCAATACAAGTGAAAGAAAGATTTGGAAGAAACTAGAAGCAAGAGGAAAAAGCTGGGGAGGTCTTTCAGTTGTTCCCAGTGATCCTTGGAGAGAAGACAGTATTAAAAAGAGGGCCAGGTTCATGTCATAATTTCCATTTCTAAAATTGGGAGCTTGAAAAAAATGGGGGCGAGCTTTTCTTTAGGATATAACCCTTCCCTGGTTCTGAGATCAGCAGTGTAAATTAGCGTTTTCAAATAGCTGCAACCTTTCAAATAGCTGTAACCTACAAGATGGCAAGGAGGCTTTTTCTAATAATAGGAGATGTTCCTCTCAACAAAAACAGCTGTCATTAGCAACCCTTAAACACATATTCACAAGAAATTGGAGGAAGCATTAATCTCACGAAGGTGCTGTTTAAAGTTCTATATTGCTTTCTAGGTAAAGATACTTACTTTGGTGTGTTTTCCTATTCTAGCAAAGAAACTTGAGGAATAGTATCTCTGAGTTACTGTTTGTTTTCTTGGCCTCATGTTTACTTCCTTGCTATAGCTGCTTTATGATGACTGTTCACATTTTCTGGTGCTCTGAGCACCTTCTCCCAGCTTTCCTCGTTCACTAGCTTTGAAATTGACCACGAGGGCCATGACTGATGGTGTCTTCTTATTCTTTTGCCAACGGAGCCTTTCATAAATTAGGTAGCAAGTAAGAAGATCATGCAAAAGGACTGAAGAGTTAATACCAAACTATAGCTGTTTGTGTATGTATATAGTGCCAAGTGCTAAGCTTTTAGTGATGCCTTACATCTTTTGATACTATGATATCTAGGATCTTACTGACCCAAAGAGGCAAGTACTCCCCGCACTACTCTGTTTCTCTAAATAATAAAATATTTTCTTACCAGCATGACTTTCCTATGCAAACCACCCAATCCAGCACCAATCTCCAACTCACATGATCTACCAAGTTGTCACAGAGACCTTACTCTAAAGCTAGCATTCCATTGCTTTAAGTATTCTAGACCAGGTACCAGGCAGCAAAAGAGACTTCATATCCCAGATTCTGCCAAAATTGCCTTCCTGGCTTCACTGATGAGCAAAAGTTGAGGCTCTTGTCTCTCTTTCCTCAGCTCCTTCTTCTTCCTGGTAATTCCTGGCATAACTCCTTCGTGGTGTGCTGCCTCTCCCCTTGCAAACCACGAGTAAGAAATATTCCTTCACTGTCATCCTCTCCTGACCTGTTGGGCTCCACCTACCTCATACGAATGAAACTTTCATTGTGCACCAATCACTAAACAACAAAACCTGAGTCATTCCATTATTTCTGTGACCAGGCCTTCTAGGTTTATTCCATTGTCACATTCATACCGTGACAACATCAGGTAGATTGAAAATTATCTTTCATTGTAAATTTAAACATGACCTTAAAAAGCTGTTGGAAGTTTTTAACTTTAGTAGAAAGCTATCTAAATTTTAGTGATCATCAATAAGTTCTCATTTGTGTGATTTAAGTGAAATTGTACAGTAAAAGCTATTTTAATGCAGAGAAAAATTTAAAACTCATGTATCTAATACTGAGCATATTCCTAACGCTATCTGGGACAAGATTGGGAGACATAGACTGTTCTCATGGTTAGAAAGCTACAAACTGAACAAGCCTTGATGCTCTGGGTGCCAGATGCAGGATAAGGCAGCTCAGCCACTAAGAAATGTTTCTCTTACTTCCAAGTTATACTTCAAGGATACGTCTGCCCAGCCTCAATGTATTTCCATAACCACACTTCCCAAGTCTATTGGGCATAAAAATGCACAGAAATTCCTTGATGCACAAAGTATAGTTAATGTTTCAGAATTTCGGTACCAGGCCCTGCTTTGCCTTTTCCCACTTCCCACACAACAATTCTCCTACAAATCTTAATTTCTCTGGTAATATCCATTGAAACAACTGACTGAATGCAAATAGAAAAGAAATGAAGAATACTAGTATTTACTCTGCATTTGTTGTTTTTTTTTTCCCCTGATTAAAAAGTGGCACAATAAAGGCAGCCATACCCAGTGGTTCAGAAAGAAGGCCAAAGTGTGAGAGCATCTCTTCCACATCACAGTGAGCTCACATCTTGGGGATGTTAAGATTGGGAAGGTGACTTCTCCTCTGTATGTGATACTTTCCCCGTCATGGAAAGGTCTACATAATTATGTAGCTATTACCTTATAATAATCAAAATACAATACTTAGTATATAAGAAAAATAAAGTGATGGCTGCTCAGTTTTCTCTTCTTCAATAATATAGTAGCCTGAATAATATCTCTTATTCAATGCTGTTGTACAACAAACTGGTATGATTGAGAATGCACTATAACTAAAACTTATGCAAATACGATGCACAGCTACTACCATAGGGTATATGTGTCTTTTCTTTTTCTATGCCAAGATTTAGTTTTATTTTCTACTTCTTTTTACTTCAGTGTCTTTGTACTATTGCAGTTAATGAGATCACCCTTAAATCAGTCATAAGTAATGATTTATAAATTATATCTAGTTCAAAGATAATTGATAATCTGCAGCAAATACTAGACACATTGCACTGAATCCAATAAACTTACCCATGAAGGGGTTTCTACTTTGAAATGGAAGTTTTACTTTACATCAAAAGGTGCACTTCAGCATCTCTTTCATACAATGTTTTTACATCAAAAGGAAATAAATTAAAAGTATGCACTATTTGTTCCAACACCATCAGACAGCATATACTCACAAATGGATTTGTGTGGGTTTTGAATTAAACTATTACACCATACTTGTCCCAGAGGATATCTTGACTTTGTCAATAGGCTTTTCTTCCATCTGGATCCATGCTTCAGT